CGAACGCTATGAATTATTTGCGTAAAGCGAATATAGATAGAGACCTAATGAATCTTGTTCGAGTAGCCTGTATTGTAAAAGAAATGAGAAAAATGACAAATGAGCTTGGTAAAGCACTAAAGACAGATTTTTTTCTTCTTTTGAATTTCTGGCGCCTTTCGAAGAACTTTTGATAACTACATGTGTGTCGCCTCATTTTAGATAAAAACTTATATCAGTCTGTTAATATGACATTTAGCTATTTTATTTGTTAGGCCAAGATTTATTTAGTAAGTACCGATTTGTTTGCCTAAGTGTTTCGAGAACTTTCGCCGGAAATATCTGAGACTGAAAGCTTAGTACATATTTTGAAGCTCAAAACGAAAGCCACTCCTTATTTTTGACGATGAAGAAAATTTCAAATTCTTTAATCTTATGAAAATAAGTGATGTTGCTCTTCTAATCAGCAGTTCGTACATGTAACACTAGGTCTTGGCGAGTTTAAATAAGCAGTCCTACAACTAAATATAGTTCATCTGGCTATTTTGGAATTGTTTATACCATAATTGCGAAATATAGATCTCTCAAAGGTAAGAGTCAAAGAGTTAAGGGCTTTCCTTGCCACAAAAGGCGTCTAAGTTTGGCTATTTCCCATGAGTGAGAGAAATCATGGATTATTCCCGTCCAAATGTGGGAGGGGAATAATACTGCGTTACAATCCGCAATACATAAGTCGCAGGCCGCCACCATGAGGCTTCAAGGGCAGATTAAGTGGAATAGAAATGGTCAATATTAGAAGAAGCTAACGTTTGATTCAGGGGTCAAGAAAAATTTTGCTGAATACGATATTACAATTTCGGTAGAATTTTATAACGCTAACAGTAACATGATCAGTCGGCTAGCCTTGCAATACCTTAAGAAATTCGCTTCAAGAACTGTTTCACTTTCTCTGTTTGGAGTTTGTCTTTTTAGTTTCATTTAACTGAAAGATTTACTCGCGTGCAAGCTTATAAAAACAGCAGGTTATTTTAAGTCAGTCTGTGTTGGAACGACTTCAAGAGCACCCGCTAGACACCGTTTGACGTCAAACGAAACCATTTTTAAGTGTATATTTGGTACTTTAATCCAGTGGTTGATTCCACAGGAAGTTGGTTTTAAAAGGGGGTGGGTACTAATCAAGAGACTCGTGAATCGTGACAAACATTTTATTGCCCTTTGGACTACCTTTTTACCTTTTCAATCATCTCAAATTTGTCGGTTGTCGAATAACATAAGGACAAAAGCTAGACTTTGAGAGGGATTGGATTCCGTACAAAGACAATATGACCCGTTGAAGCCGACACACCGATACAATGACTGAGTCCTGAACAAGTGTAGTGCGATAATTTCATCCCCAATTCTGTGTCAGCAATTTCGAATTTGGGTTAGCCACGACCTACAAACACCCTTCCGCATTTTACTTTAGGCATTCTCAGCTCCTTTGGCAGGAGCATGACTTCCATACAGTGACAAAGAAAGTTTTTCTAAGCAAAAACTCACGTCGAAATCCTTTTTCACTAGAACTTGGTTGACATGAAACTAGTGGTGGGCCTTATAATATTTTTTGGCCATGTGATCGCTATTCCTACTTTGAAAACAATATTAGATGCTTTTTGTTCCCCAGTTGTGAGACTCATTCTCCAATACCTTTTAATCCCTTCCTAGACATGCCTAAAAATATAGGAAAGCTTCGAGCTTTTTTTCCTCCATCAAATGGTTGACCCACTTACTGAAATCGCTCTCAACACGATTGAAACCTCTAATTCTTCATGTGAATCTAATGGATTGGAAGGTAAGCCACTGTTACCCTCTGATGGCAAATGACTCGGCAATTATTTATGAAGAAGACATCAAGAAATAAATAACTATATTGTATTCGAGCAAGAGAAACTCTTATCACATATCTTAACTTCTGATAAAAATTACGAGGTTATAAACATTTTCTTACTAACACTTAATGAAAGTTTGGTATTTCAAGAAATCAGTTAGTTTAACTATAAAATGATAAAACGAATAAATGATTTACAGTAATTTTTTCTCTTGTGCATTTTCCATACAGTTTAAAGTTTCGTTCTACACTTGGATGCATCATTCCCCCACTCGTGGTTTTAGGGAGTAGGCTTAGGGTGTGCGCATAAGCTCTCATGTCTCTTTTTATATAAGTTTTGTGGTAATTATCTCCCCGCTATATCTCTGAAGTTTGCGCAGATTTGGCGATCACACTGTTAACACATAACATCAACTAATGACATGTGTGCCAAAGGGCAGGTTTCGACCTGACCTGACCTTTTGTAACAGAAAACTCGTCTATTTTTGTTTCAATTCTTGTGTTTTCTTTTTTTTCCAAAAAACCTACTCGCGCATGAGCAACGCTTAAGGCTTACATCATGCAAGAGCAATACACTAACCAGTATCTGGCAAATATAATGAATCTAGTATACATCGAGGACTTCCATTAAATTCTAGTGTGGCCAACATCGGTGAAATGTAAGAGCAAAAGCTGACACTTGTATGGGAAAAAGAGTAATATTCCCTATACTATCAAGATTTTAAACTCTAACCTTAAAGGAAAATGCTATACACAAATATTATGACCTAACTTATGTCGATAGGAGAAAAACAATCACGCAAACCACATTAAATCTTCATGGCTTTAAACTGCCCTAAGAAAACATTCAGGATTGTTTTACTATCGCAGTAAATATATATTTTGAAATTACATGAGCACAATGACTGTACCATTCGCCACGAACAGAAAGCACAATATTTTTTCACATGCAGGGAAATAAACTTTTTGTTTTTTTAGTTCTTCGGTATTGGATTCCGGTCAGATAACTTATACATTTGTAGATTAGAATACTTGAGTTTTAACGTAATTGCGGCATGTATTTATAGAAACCCTCTGAATGGGCCTAGTATAAATGTGACTTTTGTCCATTTATTGGATTTTAGAAGGACATAGGTCACCTTCAAAACTGACATACACTGTTTCCAAAGCAAGATTCGAAGAGGTTAGGTAAGGTATACAGAAGGCTTTTCAGCATTAATGTTTTAATTAACATTCTTCAGCATGTCCACGATCACGGCAAGCAAACTGTGCCCTTAAAACGTGCCGTGGAAGTTTGAGTGTTGCGTTGAAAGTTCGTTGTGGTTATAAAAGCTGTTTCAATGTGTAGAATGCCTATTTAAGTAAATTGCATTTTTACAGAACTCTAAGGACTAAAGTTAAGCTCAATGAAAAAAGACTAAGCAGCTACGCTAAAAATGAATTGTTTATTTGGTAGTAAATCGCGGTGAAGACGGCTATCCTAACAGTATTATATAGAATAATATTATTTTGTGGTGGACTTATCCACAACGTTTTCATTTCTGATTATTACAGTTTTTCCTCAATCTTCTCTGGAAATCTTGTAGAGGCTGTAGAGACAACGTTAAGAGCAGCGGTTACAGTTATGAAACAAAGATTAAAAAGTTATTTGTTTTAAGAGAAAATTTGATTTATGTGAGATAATATTTTTAAAGACAGAAATACTTTAAATCTAATTGAATGAGCTATTGGTCGTGATTTGAAAAATGTTAGAAAGTATTTGTTGGAATCTGTTTTGTTTGGTCGTTACAGGTCTCTCTACCCCCGCATCGATGTTACACTTTTCACTAAGAAACGTAATACTGCATTTAAGATTTCTTGAAAAATTATGAAAAAGAAATATAAAGAAATTATTCATTTTATAAAGGTTGCACAAATGGCAGAGAAGACATAAAGAGAAACAAAGGAAAAGAACTTAATAGAGGACTAAGAAACGAAAATGATAGCTAATCGTCTTTGAGTTTGACGATAATTAAGAAATACTAAAATGCTTGCCTTGCTGAGTCTTCCATATGCGCAGATCTTCGACTCTCACTATCTTTCATTTGATTTGAGGCAGCTGGCACGTTTCTTTTTTTCCTTTTTATACGCAATTTCGGTTCAGCAATAAATGATAGCTTTAAAAGCCAAATTGTCATCTCAAAAAAGAACTTTATGATCGAAGTTAATATTTCATCCTTTTCCCTGACCGAAAAACTAAATCTTTTGTCGTAAAGAATGATTTGAGATTAGGTATCCAGTGCAACGATCAGAACAGTTTACAAAGAGAAACGCTCTAACACCGACGAAATTGACTTAATCAGCTAGCGCGCGTTTCGAGGAAAGTGTGCAACAGGTGAAAATTATGAAAAGAAACAGTAGAAAGTTCTTTTGTCGCTTGAGTTACCCACTGACTAGATCAAACATTTTGTCCAAATTCTTTCGAGATTTCCCTAACATCGGAGGAATGTTCTCAAGAAAAACGTGAAACGGACAAAACTCTTAACTCGGAAACTGTAAATTGGGCCAAAACTTCGATCATCAACACTTCCCAGCAATATTTGAGTAATCATTGTAACTATCGATACAGTGGATTTCGTTCGTCTGCTAGGCAACGTAACATCCCTAAATGAGTAGTGTATTGAGGTTCTCTTCGCATCTTTTAGAAAAACATTTGGGGCAAATCTTTTTTACACCTTTGGTGTTTAGAACTTTCTTTACACACACGTGCTTCAGAGGTCAACCAAAGCTAAAGGTTGTGCATGAAAACATTGTTTTGTTTCCATTGTTGTATTTAATCACTACTTAAAAGGGCACGGACCCTGAATTCAATTGTCTGTTTGCTCATTGTGTTGAGGGCTACTTTAAGAGCATAAGTCAAATAGGGCAAAGAGACATTATACACAAGCATTCTAAAATGTTAACGAGCTCGGCTTAAATATTCTAGTTCTTATGACAAACGCATACACTGATAGGTCTTCACAAAATTAAGCATCCTTCACGGTAAAGGTGAGTTGAGTCATTGATCGAAGATCGCAAGTTTTCTTCTGTAGTTTTTTGTGAGTAGTATTTGTAACACTTGATAATTAGTTATTTCAACAAAGCTAAATCTGTTTTCTAAACGCTATCGTTTCAGGAGGTAGAAGGAAAGAGTCATATTCTTTCATTATGCTGGAGAAGAAACAGAGGCAGATTGCTCAAACTTTAAAATGGTAAGTAAAATCCTCGTAGAAGAGAGAAATAAACAGACAAGTAACGCGACTTATTTAAGTCACGGATATTAAGTGCGAAAGTTGAAAACAAGTTGACGGGGAAACACAAACAAGAAGAAATTATCGGAAAAGGCCGAAACCAGGTAAAAACATTTTTAAGTTTCTTTATAAGGAATGAAGCGTATTCAATATTTACCCAGTCAACCTCTCCTTGTTAACATAACGGTTGGAAAGACATAACATACAGCAATACTGAAACTAAAAGAGGCGCTGGAAGTACGATAGATGACATCAAAGAGTACTTAAAATTTTTTTATTTGAAGCGCATTGCTAGCTTTAGTATTAGTGATGGGAAGGAATACAGAAAAGAAAAACAAAAACAAAAACAAAAAACAAAAAACACGCAAAAAAGGAAAAAAAAGGGGAAAAGATGAAACGCCTGTGCTCTCCTCCCCCTCATGAGGTAGGAGAAAATGGATAAAATAGAGTGTAATGATCACATATGCTATCATGAAAAAATGCTAGGTAACCCTCTCATCCATTAACTACTACTGATTTATACATTCCCCGCGTACAAGGGATTATAGCTTAATCAGTTCAGAGGTAATATGAATTAAATTTTTAGAGGTATAAGATCAAATATAAAGACTATGAAGATATCGTTAGAAGCCTATTCTTGTCTGTTAACGAGGCTTTACCGTCTGCTTATCGTGTCATTATAAAGCTGTCACTAAATGGCACCATGAATCAGCAGACTTTTCCCTTTTGATTACCTGTCTATAAATATACACAATTTCTAATAATAAAGAGCGTCGAATATACTAATCAAATGATATGACGTTCTGTAGTCCTTTGTTATTGTAGTTCTAAATCTGCTCAAATCTTAGTACTTGACCGATGTGGACAAAAAAAGATACCTGCGTAGAATTGGTTTCCAAATTCTGAGCAGTAGACACTTCACTCAAAAAATAACTGATAAGAGTGATGAGAATTAGTCTTGACACACTTTTAAAATCCACGTCTGTGACGGAAGGGTCTAAACAAAGACTTAAGTCTTGTCACTTTATAATGCTTGTGGCTCACTAAAAGCCTCTAGAAATAGAGGCTTTTAAATTCAACGCAGAGGAGCCTTTTTCAATTTACAAGCGAATAATGTCCAGATTTTTTAGAAACCAACAATTTTTCCTACTCGCGATCGCCGTGAAATTTTTGTTCATCTAACAAGCGCCAAGCAAAAGTTGAATGCATTCAAAAGTTGAATGCAGTGACCTGAGTAGCGAGTTGAACACTGTAAGTTGGTTCCTAAGTTTTATAGGGGCTGCATTTTAAGGATTCAGCATTTCAGTGTATCTGTTTTCTTCAACAGGCTTGGTGAAAATTATGAGTTGAAGGAAGGGATGTGTTTACCACGATGTGTCATGTACACGCACTATCTAGATTTTTGTCGTAAGGGCAAGCTGTGCCCAGCAGGACCAGCCACTTTTGGGAAGGTAAAAGCCGCATTAGGAACATAATTTAATGATTTAATGAATTATTACGTCTGCTTAAAGAAAAGACGATTTCATTGAGGAAGGAGGTCTTCTGTTTCTTAAATCAGTAACTAGGGAAAATCGAGTCTTTTGAACTTGGTTTAAAAACTTTCTCTATTTCCTTTAATAATAATTTCTGCATTAATATGCTTCCTCTGAATTGAGTTAAATGGTTAAGCTTCACACTGCGAAATCCGAAGGACTAGGGCTCAAATGTGACCACGGATGACTCAACTGTCTTTCATGACACTTTAACATCTTTTTTTTTATTTCAAGTCGAAGCTCACAGAAAACTTACAACCTTTTTAGACTCAAATGCGAGTTTTTTTTTCTTTTTTTGTTCTAAATTAACTATATAGATAATCCGTCAACGGTTTCCAAAGCTGACGACAAGAAGACTTGGAACTCGTGGGCAATCAAAGTAAGTTTGACCAACGAGTTAAAAAATTCACGTGAGCTGTACAGATAATTTTCGTATGGTAGTAGACAAGAGCTCCCTTTAAAGTTCCGATCCCCAATATCCTGAAAGTGGAAACTGTCAGAAAACGTCCCACGCTACAAGGAAAAGAATATGGTATCGATACTAAGCAAAGTTTAAATAAGTTATACCAAGTAAGTACTTGTTTAAATTTCGTTCAAAAATTGTCATAGTAGGGAAGGAAATTCATTAGAAAAAAAGTTTCGAACGATAAAACCGAAAGGATTTATGGATGGCCAATATTGGAGTGGACTGATGTGAATTTCAAGTTGCAAACTGGGAAAATTAATTCATGTAAAAGCCGTTACCTTGCTCCTGCTTGTGGCTCGGTAAAG